TTTTTTGAGTTGGAGTCTCTGTCGCCCAGACTGGAGTGCAGTGGCACGCTCACGGCCACCGCAGCCTTGACCTGCTGGGCTCAGGTGATCCTTCTGTCTCAGCCTTACAAGTAGCCAGAACTACAGGTATGTGCCACCATGCTCTGCAAATTTTTTGATTTACGGTAGAGACAAGGTCTCGCCATGTTGCCCAGGCTGGTCTCGAATCCCTGGGCTCAGGCAATCCTCTTGCCTCCACCTCCCAAAGTGCTGGGATTACAGGAATGAGCCACAGTGCCTGGCTCTTTGTCCTTTCTGGACCCACTGGTGCCCAGAGTTCTCTGTGCTTGGACAGCTTCCCATCTGTGTCCTTGGGCTCAGAGGAAAGGTGCCATTGCTGGCGGGACCAGGGCACTCTGCACCAGCACTTCTCCACGGGGGGCTGAGGGGACAAGTGTGTGTGTTGAATCCCTAAATGGAGTCTGACTTTGCGGTCCTCCAGAGCCTCTGCCCCAAGGCACAGAGGCACCCCTGCTCTCCCAGGGCACCTGGGTGTCTGCAGCCTGGACTGGTCACAGGATCCCAGATGCTCAGGCCAGGTGGTGGCCTTCTCCCCTGCCCCCTCCCACCCAGCTTCCTGGGAGGCTGAGGTGGGAGAATTACTTGAGTCTGGGAGTTCAAGGATGCAGTGAGCTAAGATCACGCCACTGCACTCCAGCCTGGGTGGCAGAGTGAGACCCTCTTTCAAAAAAAGAAAAAAATCGTTTTAACAGCAGATGATATGGAAGCTCAGAAGGTGACATAACTCCCAGAGTTACCAACTGGGATGTGGCAAAACCGGGTTTGAATCCAGGCTAGGGAGCTCTTGCCTGGTTTCTTACCTCCTTGCTGACGGAGGTCCCGCCCCAGCCTCACTGACCGTTGGGGGCAGGGGACCTATGGAGAGAGCTTGGCCATGCCAGGCCAGCTTGTGGGCCACCAGGGCCTCGGGCTCCTGCTTAGGGCTCCTGGTCCCTGGAAGCCCTCCTTCTATGCAGGGACTTTCTTATTTGGCATCTTTGTGTCCAGGCCCGGAGGACAGAACAGGGAGGAAGAGAGAGAGGTCAAGTCAAGCCCAGGGTAAGTGCCCCCTGCTGTCTGCCTCCAGCAGGACCGAGGCACAGGCAGAAACGGTCAGTGGGGCCTAAGGGCGTTGGAGTACAGGACCCCGGGAGACAGCATCAGCTGTGCATGTTGGAGGCAACCATGGCAGAGCCTGGGACAAGGGCAGGGGATGCTCACAGCAAACTGTCTGAGACTTTCAGCTGCTTCAGCTCACTTCCCCCGTCCTGCAGGCCCGAGGGACCCACGGGGCTTTCCTGAGGATGCTGTCCTCGGCTCCCGCCTCCCACTGGCTGGTTCTTCTGTCTCCCTCTGGGCCGGGGCTTTCCTGTGCCCTCATGTGGGGCCTGTGCCGGAGGCCTCCTCTGGCGGGACGCTGCTGGGGCTTTCTCCCTCAGGGGCAGGAGGCGTGGCTGGGTTCTCAGGGGCCCCTGGGGTTGGATCTGAGGACGGGGCAGGGGCAGCTTCATCACAGGGGCTGGGGGCTGAGCTGGCAGCGTGTCCAGGGCTCTGGGCCTCGGCGTTCAACTGGGGCTGGACCACAGAATCGGCTGCGGCTGGGCCACGGGATCCAACCGTGGCTGGGCCATGGGGTTCGGCTCTGGCTGGGCCACGGGATCCGACCGTGGCTGGGCCGTGGGGTTCGGCTGCGGCTGGGCCTCGGCCGTGGGCCCTGGCAGAGTCGGACCCTCAGAGTCCACTTGGGTCTGTAGCTCGGCCGGCATGAGGCTGCCAGGCCGTTCTTCGCAGAGGGCGGCAGCAAAAGAGGACAGCACTGCCCGTAGCAGGGCACGGAGGTCGGCGCTGGCCAGGAGGCACAGGAAGGGACTCAGACAGCTGTTGAACAGAATCAGGTAGTCGGAGTAGACCAGGGCCTCCCAGAGCAGGTAGCCGGGGTAGACGTCCCACAGGAAGGCCAGGTACAGCAGCTGGGCCAGCTGGTAAGGCAGCCGCAGGACCACGTAGGCCGACAGGATGGTCTTGGCCACGCGGGCGAAGCCCCGGCAGGCTGCGGGCCGGGGCTGCTGGCGGCGGCAGGTGCGGCAGGCAGCGGCCTGGGTGAGCACGTGGCAGACGAGGAGCACGAGGAAAGGCAGAAAGCCCCCAAGGATTTCCAGCATCCGAAGCGGCAGCTCCTCGCTGTCCCAGAAGTCCAGGCAGATGACCAGGTCGTACCACCAGACGGCGGCCTCGGGGAAGACCAGCCAGGGCACACTAAAGAGCGTGGCCAGCACCCAGACCCCGGAGCAGACCCAGAGGGGCAGGCGGGCCGGGCGGCGCCCAGGGTACCAGCGCGGGCACAGCGCCAGCAAGCAGCGGTCCAGGCTGAGGGCGGCCAGCAGGAACAGGCCCGAGGAGTAGGACACGCCCCACAGGAAGTAGTAAAAGCGGCAGGCGGCTGTCCCCAGCGGCCAGTGCCCTCCATGCTGGATCTCCAGGATCTGGAAGGCAGCGGCCGCCAGGAACAGAAAGTCAGAGAGGGCCAGGCTGAGCAGAAGCAGGGCCAGTCGCGTGCCTGCTCCCTGCCGGGCCTGCGAGCCGGCCAGCCACGCCATCAGCCCGTTGGCAGGCAGCCCCAGGAGCAGCAGGGCCACCAGGAAGACCGTGTCCCAGCCACCCTGGGGGTAGTATTCCTCGTCGTCCAGCTCTGTGCGGGGCCCGTGGCCAGCGGCGCCCAGGTTGGCTTCTATAGCAGCATCCATGTGGGGTCTCCAGGGTACAGCTGGAGTGAGTGCCTGGTGAATCGGTGGTTGCGTGAATGACCGATTATGGGAGGGAGGGTGCTGTGCATCTTCAGGAAAGCCACAGTCCCTCTCTGGGCCATCCTCATCATCACCTTTTGGGCAGTTAGCCCTACACCAAAGACTTTAAGTAGATGACCTCAGGTAGTCCCCATACGATCCACTTTACAGGTGAGGAGAGGAGGGGGTCAGAGGATCAGTGACCTACCCAAGATCATTGGTAAGAGGGTGGGACCAGGACTCGAACCCAGACTTAGATCATTCTGCCATGTGGAATCCCAGTGTGTCCAAGTAGACTAAACCAGTGGCTTTGAAACATAGCGTTAAAGCTGTTGAATCTTGTCTTTAAGTAAACTATGATCGTGGAACTCCTACATAAACTAAAAGGGCATGCTCAGATGAAAGGACAGGAGACCACCTTCTGGGGTTCCAGGAAACGCAGTTTGAAAACCACTTGGGGCCAGGCTCGGTGGCTCAGCCTGTAGTCCCGCGCCTTTGGGAGGCTGAGGTGAGT